GTTGTGCTAAAACTTTTTTTTGTTACTTTGTAAGATTTCGCCACTGTAAATTTGTCCTATCAAAAGATGTATTTATGCTTTGACTGTCACATCTCAGGAATATCAGTATTGTAAATTCTTGGGGCATGACATTTATGGTATCAGAGCAATAGGTTTAAGATTCTTAAGAAATTTAAAAACAATGTACTTAAAATCACATTTATTGCGTGTACTGACTGGGACGAAGTCAAGATCCAGAATAGCTGAAGCTAATATGGAAGGAATTCACAAAGCCTTGGAAAATATGATTGCTTTAATGCAACATCAGATGGAAAACAACAATCCACCCAGGCAGTCAGTTACGGGAAATTGTGGGAGTAATATTCGAACAATTTAAGAAATTGAACCCACCTTCTTTTAAGAGTACTGTAAACCCACTTGAAGCTGATGGATGGATTATGTAATTGGAGAAATATTTGAGGTAATGGAATGTCCTGATGATAAGAAGGTGGCTTTGGCAGTTTTTATGTTAGAAGGTGAAGCACAACATTGGTGGCGAATGGCAAAAGGAGTATTGGTCAAATAAAATAAACCCTTAACTTGGGAAGTATTTCTAGAGGCATTTAATGAAAAGTATTTCCCAGATTTTATTCGAGACCAAACAAAATGGAATTTCTGTAATTAATCTAGTAAACCGGACGGCAGCACAGTACGAAGCCAAGTTTACTGAATTGGTCAGGTTTGCACCACATATGATTAACAATGAGGTAAGAAAGGTGAAAAAATTTGAAAGGGGTCTCAGGCCAGCTATTATAAGCAGAATATCAGTCTTAAAATTGAGAACTTATGCTGAAATAGTGGATCGAGCCCAAATTGTCGAAAAAGATTTTGAAGATTACCAAAAGACGAAAAATCAGAAAATTCAGGTTAGACCCACACCATCTAATCGACATCAGTTTGAAAGGGAAAACAAGAAGCTAAGGATCTTGCAACTTCAAAGCTCAATAGAACCATGTAAAAAATGTGGAAAAAACCATGGATCGAGCCCTTGTTATTGGAATACTGAAGTTTGTTTTAAATGCGAAAAATTGGGGCACCAGATTAAAGAATATCCTAGCTTATAGATACAACAGCTTCCAAAGCAGGGAGAGATAGCTCAAAAGCCTCAGATAAAGGGAAGAGTATTTGCAATCACCCAGCAAGACGCTCAGGCCTCAAAATTAGTGATCCAAGGTACTCTTATTATCTTTCAAAAAGTAGCTCATATTTTGATTGATCATGGATCTACTCATTCATTTGTGTCACTATACTTTGCATGCCACTTAAAGATAGAACCAGAACAATTAGAATACATTCTAGAGGTAGCCACACGATGGGAAATTCAAGTGACACCAATATAGTGTACAAATCCTGTGTAATGAAGATAGAAGAAAATGAACTGTTGGTTGATTTAATACTTCTAGAAATTAAAGATTTCGATGTAATTTTAGGCATGGATTGGCTTTCTGCATACCATGCAAGTATTGATTGTTGCAAGAAAATGGTTACCTTTAGTATTCCGAATCAACCAGTATTTTATTTTAATGGTACCAAAAAAGACTCTCCATCAGATTTAAGCTCCTGTATTCGAGCTAATCGCCTCCTTCGAAAAGGGTGTCAAGGTTTTCTTGCATATATCAAAGAAGATAGGAAGGAAGAGATAAATTTCGATACCACTCCTATTATCTGAGAATTTCTCGACGTTTTTCCTGAAGAATTGCCAGGATTACCGCTTGACATGGAAATTGAATTCTCTATTGAATTATTGACAGGGGTAGCCCCAATTTAGAAGGCACCTTACAGAATGGCACATGCAAAACTTAACGAACTTAAACAACAATTGGAGGAATTATTAGATAAAGATTTTATCAAGCTCAGTGTGTCACCTTGGAAAGCTCCGGTATTGTTTATTAAAAAGAAAGATGGGACTATGAGATTGTGTATCGATTATAGACAGTTGAACCAAGTGACAGTGAAAAATCAGTATCCATTACCTATAATTGATGATTTACTTGATCAATTACAAGGATCACAAGTGTTTTAAAAAATTGATCTTATATCTGGATACCATCAGCTTAAGATTAAAAGTGAAGATGTTCCCAAGACAGCTTACAGAACAAGGTATGGCCATTATGAATGTTTAGTCATGCCTTTTGGATTAACCAATGCACAGGCTGCATTTATGGATTTGATGAATCGGATCTATACGCCCTTTTTAGATAAATTTATTGTAGTATTCATCGATGATATTTTAATTTATTCCAAGAATCAGAAGGAACATGAGCAGTATGTAAGAATGGTATTGCAAATATTAAGAGAAAAGAAATTATATGCCAAACTTAGTAAATGTGAATTTTAGCTTGAACAAGTGACATTTTTAGGACATGTCATATTAAAGGAAGGTCTATCAGTTGATCCTTCAAAGGTTGAAGCTTGTTAATTGGAAACAACTAAGTAATGTGACTGAAGTTCGGAGCATTTTGGGATCGGTAGGATATTACAGAACATTTGTAGAAGGATTTTCTCGAATCGCAACCCCATTGACTCGATTGACACAGAAAAATATCAAATTTGAGTGGACAAGTGAATGTAATGAGAGTTTTCAAGAACTAAAAGTTCGATTAACTTCTGCACAATTTTAACTATTCCTGAGGGGAGTGGGGGATT